ACCCTCTGGCCCCCAAGCAAACCAATAACAGCATTCACCTTACCTACTGGAGGTACCAACTTGAAAGTACCTGTACAGTCTAAACCAACTCGCATTGGTCCGAACGCGGCAAGTCGAAAATGGTTAGACTCGGCCATGCGGGGCTCGCAGGGTGACAGCTTCCCTTTCCGTTGCTCCGGGGAAAGGATTCTCGATGCCAATGATGCGTCAGCATTATCGAAATTGGTTTGTCCTTGGGTATTCAAAAAGTTAAGGGTCATGGCGAAAACCAGATCAAGATCATCCGTCGATTAATTTGCCCTTAGTCCTGAGCTCGCTCTCCGCTGTGACCCCTTGATTTACCGTTCTGCTCGGGTTGTACAGTGCCCCCGGGTCCATGGGCCCAGATCAATGATCAATGGATCTGGAGTTGTTCAAGTGTTACGCAGGGTGTCAATGCCCCAGCGGATCGGAATTCCCACATGTTTGGTTATTGGTTGGGACGGATCACAAGAGCAGCTGCCGAGCCATAGAAGTGGAGGGGTAATCTCGTAACTTCTCATCATCTGCGGGGTGGAAACTTTGAGTCTCTTAGATACTCTACTGCTTTAGGCTCAGATTAAGGTGTGCCTAATAAAATCAAATACAATACAATACAAACAAAATAAACTGCGGGAGAGCACCAGTGGTCAGGTTGAAAACATTCCCATGATGATTCCAATGCTGTTTGCGGCGGTTACAAACAGTATAGTACCTCATTCGGTAGGAAATATCTCGATGTGCCTACACAGTCGATGTTGTCGTGGGCGATATTAAGATTGATAATAATACATGGTAATAAGAAACAAGGTACCTAGAAACAAGGTACAGTATTGGGCAGTTATGGCAAGGGTCGAAAACTAAAGACTCGGCAGTACAAATCACTTACCGAAGGGAGTAAAAGCGCTAAGCCGATGACAGCCCACGTTTTACCACTACTGACAGGTGAAAATTCTTTGATTACTTCATGCATATATTATGCTCATCGCTCAGAGTATGGTCCTAACTTGCCTAAGAGAGTAAATCATGTTCCATCGCTCTTTTTGATCATCACGGAATCTATTCTAAGCTTCGGCCAAGTAGCAAAATGCGATCAAATAGTACATGCTCTAGGACTTCTCCACGACTGTGGGGAGTTTTTGTGGGTAGAACTCTGTTGCGAACGAGAAGAAGATTGTGGTTTTTTGCGACCACCTATCATAATGAAGGGAGGGGCAATGTGGAGAGAGGTCGGCAACGCGAACATCAGAAAGTCTAGTACGTACGACCACCTCCTCCGGCGTACGGAGCACTGTGTACAGTGTGCATTGGAGAATGATCAACGCTCGGCTCTCCCTGCCTGGGTTTCCAGGCACTAGTTCGCCTCTTCCGAGACGGCCACACGGAAGCCGGGGCATCTCTGTTAACCGTGACGAACACCGAGGTTATGGTTAATCGTCCCTGTTTATAAGGTTATCTTCCCTTCATCCTGTTCCTGTTCCGAGTGCGTGCTTTGCTCTTCTACGTTCACCTACGGAGTACGTCGGGAAAACGGATCGTCACCTGTTCAGCGCGGCCTCAGGCACGCCTCCTACTAGGTACTGATTTAGTGGTGGTTAGCGGCTACTGAGGATCATCTAACTCGTCGAAACTCACACCATCTTATTTCTTAGTTGACTCTGGTACCGACTTCGAACCCACTCTCTCCTTACCACTTGCGTTAGCCTCTAATAACGTACTCTTCGTTCCTTCCTTCGCCTGTGTTCAAATAAACACCCCCCTGCTCATACTACGTGGGTACTACGTCGGACCTACTGCTAGTACTCTGTACTGTACGGAGTACATCCGTTGTCATAATTTATACACAGTAAATTAGGGTACGGAGCTTACGCCGGAGGCTACATTGATCGTCGCAATCCACATTCACTGCAACTTCAGTGTAACATAGCACAATCTCATCAAATCTCGACTGACTGGACTTGCTTAAAACAGCAAAGCTGGGTTGGCTCTTGTGCCGCACCCGGTGGGCCTGATTTTCATTCCACCGCTACTCTAGTGCGCGAACCACTTTCAGTGTGGGTTTGGTTTGACTTGACGGCTTATCTGCAAACCAATGGTGATTGATGACTGACTAGGATGAATACTAGTATAGTATACCGGTCGGTATCCCTGCTCTTCCACTCCCCAATTCCACACTAAGTGATGGCGCGTTTGATACCCCTGTTGGGATTCTAGCGTTGCTTAGTGACAGTCGACTCGGAACATTCAGGCTATGAGCGCCTCTTTCGCTAGCCTGTCTTGATCATGTAGCAGCACGCCGCTACGCCAGTAGTCCATATTCTGGAGTGCCCATAACACCAGTTACCTGCGACACGAGTTAGGATACTGTCTGGAGACAGGTGGCGGAGAGACCTTTGTTTCGATGCATGCTATTTTTGAACCTTATTATCGTATCCTAAACCCCCTTTCTGTTGCAGGATTTCAGATCATGATTCTAGACGCACGGCTGAACATACAACCTCATGCATGACACTATCTATATTGAGGTACGTATACGTCACCCCAAGGCCAGCTTGAGGACTAGATCGCCAAACCCGGATAATCCACCAAGGTATACCGGCCCCTATCCTATCACAGCTCCGTAATATATTGATGCTATGCAGTCTGTCGGGAACAAAGAGTGGAAAATAAAAGTGTCATCCGCTTTAGGTTTACCCTATACCAGCAATTGATATATCTGTCGCCAGTACCCTGATACACATATGGCATGACACAACATGAAGTAACACTCAGATGCCGTTACCGCCTGCTGTGATTTGTCCTATCCCAAATTGTACAACAAGCAGAGAAGATAAAAGGTTATTGTTTAAATAACACGATCTGGATGGTTCCGTAAGACGTTGACACATAGTAATGGTTGGATCCACCATGGCTGGAGGAAAACCAGGAGTTTGTTTTGCAAATAATCAATAATCCACCACATTACAACAGGATGTAAGATGTAGAAATAAGTGCGAATTCTACCAATAATGGAGATATAATGATTAACAATTCAAATCATAAAACAGGAGTTCATAGCTTCAGTTACCGTCGCTTTTCATATGAGTACCATCACAGCTTACAATGCAGGATCTGAAGAGATCAGAACAGAATAATAGTAGTAACGTGCATGACTACGAACACAAATCATCTTTAATAGACCGTCCACTCACGGCTCCACCAAGCGCCCATCCCCAGCAAGAACACGACAAGGCTACCGTCGCGGACTATGTCCTGGAAGAGTTGAAGCCAAAGCATTATCCCGGCAGCTCTCCCAGTCCGACCCTTGCTCATTAACCTCGCGCCAGTCAACACCACTTCTCCCGTGGTAAAATAAAGGAATGGGTTCTGTGCAGTGGCAGGAGGTGGTGGCTGGCTACCGAAGGTGGAAACCGAAGTTCCGATGAGCATGAGCAAGTAGATCCCGACTGCGACTGCAAACAGTAGGTGCAGCATTTTCCACGTCCGGACCTCTTTCTTCTCCTCATCGGTAGGTTTGTGAGTTGCAGCTCCAAGCAGATCCGCGACAAACGGAGGGAGCCCCAGGGCAGACACGAGTTCGGCGGGTGATGGACCACCACCAGCTCCGCCACCAGCTCCGCCGCCGGCAGCTTGATCTTGCCCATTCATTCCTGCCATCAAGGTATTGAGCATTTGCATTGTGGGATCCTCCTCCTGAGGGCCCTGCTCAGAAGATGATGGTCCACCTTGGCGTAGAAGGGCGCGGAATAACTCTTGTTGTGCTTGTAGATTTTCGGGAGACTGAGGCTCGGGGTTCGACGTTGGCTGGGCTGGTGCTGATGCTGGTGTCGGTGCTGGTGCTGGTTGCGGTTGAGGCTTTTCGGTCTCTGGCGTAGATGATATCTGTGCAGGAGACTGGGGGGTTGGCGATGGCGATGGAGACGCCTCTTCACGCACTGCAGAACTGAAGTTAGCTTCCGCTCTCCGACCCCCAGAGACCAGGGTAATGAGTGCAACAGAGACAAAAGAAGGGGAGTCCGTACTGCTTGCGGGTGTACGTCCGCTGAGACTAGTAATCTTATCCAAACGCGCTGCACCACCCTCTTTGATTTTAGCTTCACGGCGCTCACGTCGGAGACGGGCTGCTCGCTGAGCTGGCGACTCATCTGGTGAAGACATTCTCGGGGATTTTGTGGATTGACTCTTTTCGATCGACGTCGAGGATTCGTGCTCACGATAAACTTCGTACTATATTGATAGGTATGTAGTACGTGCAAGATACGCTAGTACCAGCTAGTGAGTTGGCACAGCTTAGGTTATAGATAACGACGACCTGTTGCGGATGATGTTGTTGGTCTTTCGGCCACATGAAAGTGATTGATGTCAAGTCTTGGCGTTGGCTGGAACGATTCCTTTTTCCTATTCGCTAGACGTGCAATTATGGGGCTGATTAGTAAGGATAGCGGATCAAGTTCAATGGAAGATACAATGACTTGAAGGTCCAAGTAGATACCTACATAGTAATCGTAGGTAGGTACTAGGAAGGTAAGTATAGGGAGAAGCAATTTCCTGGCTTGTGTCTTGATTCAATTGGTGATATGCGAGTATATATATGCTTCTACGCATTAACTTGGAAGAATGATCTGGCTTCCTTCCCAAAAGACATTGGTATAACTAGTGCTCAAGTGACTACCTTGAAGTACAGCCGTCGACAGTTCCAATCAGGTGTAGATGGCTTCAGAATATGATCTATATATTTTCACCGTGAGATTTATACATCTGTAGCACCATAAAAGTGAATGAAGTCTCACATAAGTCGATTACCTACTAATACTGTTCTGCAGTATCGTATTATATATATTGCTTGGAAAATTGGCTACTAATTATATAGTACCACTCTTTCGATCATTTCAAGAACATATACATACATACTCCGGAGAACACGCAATCTCATCAATTCGAATGGCCGATCTTTTAATGTACAAAGAAGATTCAATAATAGATAGGCGGAGTGTGACATCATCACTCAAGGTTCGTCCCGTGCTGCGACCAGCCGGGATGTTTCACAGAGCATTCCCTTCAAAGACATTGAGCGACAACCATTCTATCTGCATTCATGATGAGTGGTCTCATATTATAACAGTCCAGAGAAAGAAAAAGCTTACTCGAACGAGGATACCAGCAGCTGTTGGCGATATCAATCGATTTCAATGGGCCAATTCATCATACTGTGTATATGCCAAGACCATCTTCGCCTTGATGAGAGACGGTCCGAATCAGTGACATCCACATGGCATCGGGAATCCTGGAGCAAAGTTAGTGCTAGTCCTGTGTATATCTTGGTGCCTTCAGCTTATATTTCTAACTTCAAGTGCGACCCTTATTTCTTGTTACTAGTGGACCGTCCATACACCTTCCAACTCCACCGGACATTGGCTGACGTTTGGGGGTTCCTCCACAATGACGTAGTTCTTGCTCTGGTAGGGCTGGACGATGCGATTACTTCACCACAGCTGCTGTTCTCACGCAAGGCACAGACTAGGTAGATCCCACTCATTGCCTTTCAAATACCCTCTCATCTTCACTTCCGTTTTAACTCAATTCCTTCTGGCTCTCTTGATTTCCGCCCAATACAGGACTCAGGGCGTCTAAATCTAGAATGAAAGCTCGGGTCGCTGTTTGACTTGCATGGTTTCTCAGTTTTGATCTTTTTTCCGCCCATCCATAGCTTCTACCAATAGACACCATTTCTAAGCCTACCGTCAGCATGGGGCCCCAAACTACTGGGAGTGATTCTCCCAAACACCACCGGGTAGGAGAACATTATGGTACACACAACCCCGTTCCCACCATTCAAAAGTTCCTAGAGCATTTGGAAAAAGACAAGCAGGACCGTAAGGCCCATGAGAAGGTTGTCACGGCGAGGGAAAAGGAGGAAGAGGCTCGTGGAGAAGCGAAGCCTCATAAGCCGCGGAAGAGACCTGGCAAAGGTAAAACCCGTATGGTTACGGACCCGACAACTGGTCGCGAGATAGAGGTCGAAGACCAGGATGCGGATTCGATGGAAGTAGTGAAGAATCCAAAGGTATGCATCTCATAATACCGTGGCTCTATGCATATCAAAACCGCTCGATTACTGAATTTTGCTGTAGTTGGTCGTCCCCAATGCCAACCTTGGAAAGCCAACGGTTAGTACCCCAGCACGAATTAGCTCTCTTATGGCTAGCCCAGACTGACCGTTCATGCAAAAATAAAGGATGTCAGGACCTCGCCAAGCCAAAGCCTCAAGGATTACAAAGAGAGTCAGGATATAACAGCCCCCCCCGACCCCATCGCAGAGGGTACTACTTCCGACGTCCCTCTCCACGGCGAAATCACGAATGTTCTCTTTCATCCAACCCCATCCATTTCCTACAAGCCTATGTATGACAAATTAGAGAAAAGAGGGACTGGACTTTGCATAGGGATTGTATTTGGAATCCTTTTTGTGGGCCGAATGTTTGGTGGCTCGCTATGGGCTCTCTTCCCCTTGGCTGCCTGCATTGCAAGTGGTGTGTGGCTGTGGGTACAAGAAGTGATTCGGAGTGGGCGAGAGATGGAATGGAGCAGCGAGCAACTCCGGGGGCAAATGGTAGGCTAAACTTCTGTCTTCGTCTGATGTTCAACGTACTAATATCTCACCCTCTAGGCTATTGCTAATCTCCTGCCTGAATCTGTTGAGTGGATGAACTCGTTTCTCGGAGTGATATGGGGCTTGATTAACCCGGACATGCTGTCGCCTGTTGCCGATACCATCGAGGACATTATGCAGGCGTCCGCCCCTAGCGTGGTTGAGAACGTTCGAATTGCCGAGATTGACCAAGGGAACAACCCTTTGCGGATACTTAGTTTGCGAGCTCTTCCGGATGAGCACGTACAGCACATTAAGGACAATGTTCGTGAAGAGAATCTCAAGAATAAAGACCCTCATGAAGCTGCTGCCATGGAGGAGGGCGGCAGTTATTATAATATAGAAGCTTCCTTTGCCTACCACGCAAAACCGTCCGGTCAAACCGCTTCGTCCAAAGCGCGCAATATGCATATGCAGCTAGTCTTTTATCTGGGTATCAGAGGCCTCTTTGGAGTTCCTTTCCCTGTGTTTGTGGAGTTGATTGAGATGGTTGGCACTGTGCGGATCAGATTTCAGTTGATGCCCGAAGCACCCTTTATGAAGGATATGACGTTCAGCCTTGTGGGAATCCCTCACATCAGAGCCGGATGTATGCCGATGTTCAAAGCTGGTGTCAATATCTTGAACCTTCCTCTCATCTCGAATTTCGTCAACTATGCCATTGGTACGGCGTGTGGTCTGTTTGCGGCTCCCAAATCGATGACAATGGACCTCAGTATGATACTCAAAGGCGACGATATTATCAAGGAGACTGAAGCATTGGGTATCATGTGGGTTCGTATCCACCGTGCAATCGGACTAAGCAAGCAGGATAGACGTGGCAGCTATGGTGGTGGTAGTGACCCATACATAAATCTTTCTTTCTCGAAGTACGGCAAGCCTATGTATTGTACAAGGGTGATTACAGACGACTTGAATCCAGTATGGGAAGAAACTGCGGCACTACTTGTGAATCCGGAACTTATCAATGCCGATGAGAACCTAAGTGTTGAGCTATGGGATTCAGATCGCAACACGGCAGATGACATCGTGGGTAAGGTTGAGCTGCCGATCCGTGAGATGATCCAACATCCAGCGCGGATGTATCCCCAAGTATCTAAGCTGCAGGGTCTCAACGAGGGCAGCGAGATGCCTGGTGAGCTACACTGGGAAGTCGGCTTCTTCGGAAAACCGAAACTGAGGCCAGAGCTAAGGACCGACGGCAAGAAGAAAGACTTACCCGAGAACCTCAGGGACAACCCTCAATTCCAAGATGATAAAGGGGTCATCACCAACGAGGAGGAGGATGCTATCACTCACACGCCACCGGACCCGCTTTGGCCTAGTGGTATTCTTAGTGTTGTGGTACACCAAATTGTGAACCTCCAACTTGCAAACATTAAGGGAAGCCGGTATCGAAAAGGAAGAGAATACGAACCGGCAAAGCCATATGGCGAGAATACGGAAGAACAGGGAGGAGATCTTCCGACCAGCTACTGCAAGATTATTTTGAATGATCAGTTGGTAATTTTCGATCCAACCTATTTCACTTAACAACAACAACTGAAGCTAATTGGTGAATCTGCAGGTCTACCGTACCCGACCGAAAGCTGTCAGCTCAAAGCCCATATTCAATGCAGGCACGGAGCGATTTGTTCGAGACTGGCGATCAGCCATCGTCACCGTGACTGTTCGGGATCAACGCTACCGAGAGCATGATCCAATTCTGGGAGTGGTCCCTCTGAAGCTATCAGAAATCCTCCAAACGAGCTCGCAGGTTACCCGATGGTACCCTCTTGATGGTGGCATTGGATACGGGCGAATTCGCATCTCTCTACTCTTACGGCATGTTGAAACTCGACTCCCTCCAAACATGCTTGGATGGGATGTCGGTACGTTCGAGTTTGCCTCAGATAAGATCATCGCGAAGAACTTCAACCATCGAGCCAAGATTAAGCTACGGACGGGTGGCAGCAGTGGCAAGATCCCACGATCCGTGGCTTCGATCGAAGGGCAGGACACTTCTTTTGACTTGACTAACGGATCTCTCCACAAGAGTGTCCGACTCCCCGTAAAACACCGTTACAGATCTCCAGTTGTGTTTGAGTTTTACTCACCAGGTAAACATGGCGCTACAGCATACGCAATCATCTGGCTCCAGCACCTGGTAGACAACGAAGATACCCCCGTCGATCTGCCCCTCTGGTCAACGAAGAACGGGAAACGACTCACCCAGAACTACATCACGGAAGAAAACTGGGAAGCCAAACGAGAGCCAGGACTAGAAGATCTCCAGATCATCGGTCGGCTCCAGTTCACATGCCGCTTCACACCCGGCATCGATGAGTCTCATGAACGGTACGTAGTGGATAATCACTCCCGCGAGACCTACGAAACATGGGAAGCGTGTATCGCCGAAGGTGTCCGGCCCCGAAGCATCTCCCTCGAGGTCCCAGAAGAAACAGAACAAATGCATGAAAGATCATTGGTCGACGGCCGCGACGTCCTGAAGCACGCCGACCCCAAAGAG